GTTCAGACACAGTTGGCTAAAAGGTTCATTTCATTCATTTTGTTTCATTCTTTGGACAGCGACAATGTATTTCTTTTCTGTATGGGCTGTAAAGAAATCTGAGTCAGTAAGTTTCTCCACAAACAGTTTCATCTCAAATCACTCTGAATGACTTTGTTTACATCTCAACCGCTGACTTATGCAAAACTGTTTGGAAAAATGGTTGAAATTCCCCCTTCAGACCAGCCGTGAAACGCCTCAGGAAAGCTTTTTTGTAAGAGGTACTGAGAACCAAGGTGATTCCCAGCCACCAGTCATTGTTAGGCGTGTTCTCATGCTGGGTTTGGACTTATTTGAGCTCATACTGTTCAGCATAATGAGTATTATTATTTGATGTTTACTACACATCCTAAACCTTCATTATCATATGCAAAGATGTGTAAACACAAACAAATACTCATTATGTAAGGACAGGCAGGGCTGTCAACCAGGTGTTAATGGGTGTGTACAGGTGTGAATAAGTGGGTGGAGGTGTATCTCTAAACATTACACATATAAAAGGACTGATACCTGACAGTGGCTGTCACTGTGATCTTATTGTCCCTAGTGTTAAAAAACAACAGCATCAAAAAAGCTCCGCCCCATCCTATATTTTTAGCATATTTCATTTTTTTCCCTGAGGTCGACTCATAATGTTTGTGGGATTTATGTACCCAAAACAGTAACAGTTATAATTCATTTTTACATAACCATCCTTCCACTGTGAGAAGACGACTCAGCGCTATGGGTCTGAAAGGATGTGTAGCTGTCAAGAAGAACCTTACTGAGAAGAGGAGATGGACACATCAAACAAAGAAGCTGAACAATGGACTGACCACCCCAGAGTCCAGACCTCAACACCACTGAATGTGTTTGGGATTATTTGAGAATAAGAAAGTGAGAAGCAGAAAAACTAAACTTTTAAGACTGAACTTTGGATCTGTGGCAGCAGATTTCTTACTAAAGTTAACTATTATCAGCTCCACATATTCAAGTAAAGCTGTACACCTACTTCCTGGTAAAATACTGTGCAAAATAAAAAAATGAATTCATTCAAAGAAAAATAGCAGCAGCAAAAGTTTCCCATATAAAAGTATAAGTGTTAAAAACTGTGAATGTCTGAAAATGTAAGTGCAGTAAACATTTACAGTTATCTGCATTCTTTCAAGAACAGTAGCATCCTGACTATGTTTTTCTCTACTGAGCCCCTAAGATGGCATGTTGATCATTTTTAGTAAGGCATTGCCACAAATTAATATATTGAGGCCACAAGTTAAGTTTCTTGTAGCAACAAATTAATATATTGAGGCCACAAGTTAACTTTCTTGTAGCCACAAATTAATATATTGAGGCCACAAGTTAAGTTTCTTGTAGCAACAAATTAATATATTGAGGCCACAAGTTAACTTTCTTGTAGCCACAAATTAATATATTGAGGCCACAAGTTAATAAATTGAGGCCACAAGTGAATCTTCTTGTAGGCACAAATTAATACATTGAGGCCACACATTAAGCTTCTTGTAGCAACAAATTAATATAATGAGGCCACAAGTTAATACACTGAGGCCACTAGTCAAGTTTCTTGTAGTCACAAATTAATATGTTGAGGCAACAAAGTAATATATTGAGGCCACAAGTGAAGCTTCTTGTAGCGACAAATTAATATATTGAGGCCACAAGTAAATTTACTAGTTAAGTTTCTTGTAGTCACAAATTAATATGTTGAGGCCAAAAGTTAAGTTTTTTTGTAGCAACAAAGTAATATTTTGAGGCCACTAGTTAAGTTCCTTTTAGCCACAAATTAATATATTGAGGCCACTAGTTAGGTTTCTTGTAGCCACAAATGAATATATTAAGGCCACAAGTTATGTTTCTTGTAGCCACAAATTATATTGGGTCTAAAAGGATGTGTAGCTGTCAAGAAGAACCTCACTGAGAAAAGAAGACGGACACATCAAACAAAGAAGCTGAACAATGGACTGACCACCCCAGAGTCCAGACCTCAACATCACTGAATGTGTTTGATTACTTCAAAAATGCCAGCTTCTAAGACTGAACTTTGCAGGTGTGTCTACAGATTCTCTGAGAAACTGAAAGTGAGTCTCCTGAAAAGAATGAAAGCTGTAATAAAGGTAAAGAGTGACTCACTGAACACTGAAAAATCTGATATTATGTTTAGTTGTTGAGGTGTCTGTATAATTTCCTGTTAAATGTGTTTTCCTTTTTTCCTGACACTGAAAAACGACTGGAAATGAAACAAATAAAGGTGGTCTCTGACTTTTGCATAGTGCTTTTGTGAAAAATACTTGGCTTTTGCTGAGAAATTGGATCTTTCAGTGAGTCATGCGTGTACAGTTGTGTTAGTACCTATAAGAGGGGTAAAGATTTTAGGGTGGGCCTGGTCACTGCAGGCCCCAAAACTTACAGCCCCTTGGATTTCCTTAACAGATTTCTTTGCACATAGCAAATGTTTGTGTATGAATCTAATGTGAACCAAAGCATCATTAATGTTAGGGAGCCTTTCTGAGGGAGCAGGTGCAGAGGTTTTCTGTCTTTCTCTTTCTTCCTGCCTGCGCAGTGTAATACAATACGTTCTGCGGTTGATGGTGTATGAATGCGCCACAGAACTGAAAGGCAAACGTGACATTGCGTTTCGTTGTTCTCTCGATCGTACTTCAAGCAAGCACAAATCCACTTTCATGATCACCTGCATCCAGCATTACACTGTCTTTATTTGTTTTGTCATAGGATATTAAAAACGAATGCAAATGTTCTGCGGTTGATACACTGGAAAAAAATGATGCATTGAATTGATCTTTTCAGTGTGACATTCAAGAATACAATATTTAAAACCATTATGCAGTTTTTTGAGAAATCAGCCCCTCTAAATATCCATGAAAAATGAAGAGCTGAAAGGGGCAGCTACAACTTCACCCTCCACCCACCCATGATGTAGTCTTGGTTGAAAAACATTTTGACAAAATAATCTATTGCTTTTTTCATAACTGATGAAATCAAAACAGTTTTTAGATGTTTGGACCTTGTTTTATGTTTGATATTTCAATTTAATATACAATATGTCTAAGGAAAGACATTATTATGACATTATTAACAAGACCATGAATGTATTCTGTAAATATAAAGTGCACTGAACATCTCTCTAAGGCTCATTTATCAGACCCCACAACTTTAAACCAACTGAGAATGCTTTTAATTGTCAAAGCTGAAGAACTAAGAAGAGCAACTTGACTGAAAAAAGATTTCTTTGAACAATTTCCATAAGTAGTGTAGTTCAGTTATAGACCTGCCCTGTGAATGTGTGACCTAAGCATTTCGGCTCATCACAGGATTTTAATTTCGCTGAATAAATAAAAATAACAACCTGTCGTCCCCCCCCCCCCACACACACACACACACAACAGAAACCCAATTTTACATTAATTGCACAGTTGAAACATTTTGTTTTTGTGTGAGTGGATGCTTGTGTTGCCTAGACTTGGCCTGCAGGTGTCACCCTGGTGTGCTGTTACATTTACAGCATGTCAAATAGTTAATCAACTGTCTGTGAGTAGGTCTGTTTGCTTTGGAAGGCCATGTACTTCTCTCTGATCATTACCTACATTTACAGCCTTCATTCTATGCATATCTATATCTGTATCATATCTATATCATCCACATGCAAATCAGGAAGGTATTCACTAATGTTTATAACTGCTTATGTCTGTAAATGGAAGTGCAGTGAACATTTAGTTATTTATATCCTTTCAAGCACAGTAGCATCCTGGGTATTTTTGCTCTACGGAGCCCCTAAGACGACACGGTGATTATTTTTAATAATGCATGACCACAAAGTCATATATCGAGGCCATAAGTGACGTTTCGTGTAGACACAAAGTAATATATTGAGGGCATGAGTTAAGCTTCTTGTAACCACAAATTAATATATTGAGGCCACTAGTTAAGTTTCTTTTTTTGCCAGAAATTAGTATATTGAGGCCACAAGTTAATATATTGAGGACACAAGTTAAGATTCTTGTAGCTACAAATTAATATATTGAGGCCACTAGTTAAGTTTCTTGTAGCCACACATTAATACATTGAGGCCACAAGTTAAGCTTCTTTTTGCCAGAAATTAGTATATTGAAGTTAAGATTCTTGTAGCCACAAATTAATAAACTGAGACCACAAATTAATATATTGAGGTCATGAGTTCAGTTTCTTATTGCCACAAATTAATATATTGAGGCCACAAGTTAATATCTTGAGGCCACTAGTTAAGTTTCTTGTAGCCACAAATTAATATATTGAGGCCATGAGTTCAGTTTCTTATAGCCACAAATTAATATCTTGAGGCCACTAGTTAAGTTTCTTGTAGCCACAAATTAATATATTGAGCCCACAAGTTAATATGGTGAGGTCACGAGTTAAGCTTCTTGTAGCCACAAAACATATTGAGGACTTAAATTAATGTACTGAGGCCACAGGTTTAGTTTTTTGTGCCCTCAGGATATTAATTCGTGGCTTCCACATATTGATTTGTGGTCACGTCTTATTAACTAATAATTCCCATGTTTTCTAAGAGGCTCTGCATATTTTAGCTGTTTGTGGAAACTGCCCTTTAGACAAACGGCTGACCCAGAATATGCGCGTGATTACGCAGTGGCGCTGCTCTGAGTCCAGCTCTGTAGAAACGCACACATTCACTGCACTCTGAGACCATCAACCACCTGAAACAAAGCAGACGCAAACCCTGCTGACTGAGGCGTCCAAAGCCAAAGACCCAGAGGATCTGTCTCTGTGTTCACTCGGCTCTACCTGCCCATACCTGTCCGCCACACGCACGCGCACACGCATGCAGTCCCACCGTAATGACGCAACGTACGCGCACTACAAAAGGAGCCGGGGCCACGCCCTTTCTAAAACCTGTTCGGTCACGTGACCGCCTTAAATAGCTAAGTGAAATGTTTTTTTTTTTCTTTTTTTTTCTTGCTGTTGTTCTTGTGCCAAACGTGAAACTGATCAAGAAGCAGGAACTGAGCTGAAAATGTCTGGGGTGGAACTGTAGCTCCTGCCTCCTCCACCGGCTACACCGAGTCCTGACTGGCCAGTTTTTCTAGTTTTTTTAGTGAGTGGTCACAGTCAGACAGGTAGAGAGAGAGAGAGACAGACAGAGACACACACACACACAGCGACTGACGAGGAGGACGGGATGAAGCACTAACTGGACGAATCATTTGTCCAAGGACTTTAAAGCAGATCGTGTGAAAAAGGTAAGTAACCCTTTCTTGTTGTTTCCATTGTTTTCCACAATCAGTCGTTGTGCTTCGGGGTACGTTTCTCCGTGGAAGCCCGTCCTTCAGCTGCTTCAGGTGAGCCTTTGTCAGGTAGCCTAGCGTAGGGAACTCCACCACCTCCTCACCTCTGCATCAGAGCGGCCGATGTAGGTGATCCATAAAACCATAATGAAGTGAAGATTATCTGTAACTTCAGTTAGATAGTGATTCCAATAGAGAAACAGAAACTAATCTGAAAAAATCAGATCCGAATCCTCCTCTGCTTCTGAGCTCCAGAGCTCCAGAACTCAGTAGATCTTCATTAGTGCATTCAGCATCTACCAGCCTAGGACCTGAGGTTTGTTAGGCTCTGTTTAGACTCATTTTGATATAAAATAAAACCCTAAAACTCCGGAAAGAAATTAGAAACTAAATTAAACTTACAAATATACTATAATGTAGATATTATAATGTAGATAGCGCTGTCAAAAATATCAATATATTGATACCGATTGATTCTGGAAGTTTTATCTGATACTGATACTCATTTTCAGTATCAACACTATCCATATTCTATATCAGTGGGAATGAAAAGGTTTCTACCTTAAGCATTGTAGTGTAAAGACAGTACGAGGTTTGCACACGTGTGTAATTGTATGACTGTATCTGGCTCTCATTGTAAACTACATTAAAAAGTTCCCGTTGTTGGGCTGCAGAGATGACTGGCTCCAAGTACTGATGTTGACTATAATCAGCTCCATGTATTCAAGTAAAACTGTACACCTACTTCCTGGTAAAATACTGTCCAAAATAAACAAATAAACACATACAAAGAAAAATAGCAGCAGCAAAAGTTGCCAGTATAAGTGTTCAAAACTGCCTATGTCTGTAAATGTAAGTGCAGTAAATATTTACAGTTATTTACATTTTAATGAACAAGAACAGTAGCATCCTGGGTATTTTTTGCTCTACTGAGCTGCTAAGATGACACAGTGATTATTTTTAATAAGGCACTACCACAAATTAATATATTGAGGCCACAAGTTAATATATTGAGGCTACAAGTTTCTTTTAGCCACAAATGAATATATTGAGGACACTAGTTAAGTTTTTTGTTGCCACAAATTAATATATTGAGGCCATGAGTTATGCTTCTTGTAGCCACAAATTAATATATTGAGGCCACAGGTTAATATATTGAGGCTATAAGTTTCTTGTAGCCACAAATTAATATATTGAGGCCGCTAGTTGAGTTTCTTGTTGCCACAAATTAATATATTGAGGCCATGAGTTATGCTTCTTGTAGCCACAAATTAATATATTGAGGCCACAGGTTAATGTATTGAGGCTATAAGTTTCTTGTAGCCACAAATTCATATATTGAAGCCACAAGATAATATATTGAGGCCATTAATTAAGTTTCTTGTAGCCACAAATTAATATATGGAAGCAATGAGTTCAGTTCAATTTATATATGGACGACACATGTTTAGTTTCTTGTAGCCTCATTTATATTAATTTGTGGTCTCAATATACTAATTTGTGGCGCCTTATTATATAATAATTCCCACGTCTCCTCAGGGGCTCTGTATATCTTATCTTATTTAGACAAACGGCTGATCCAGAATACGCGTGTGATTACGCAGAGTGGCACACCTTCCACATCGCTCTTTTCAGTATTGATACTGTCCGTATTCTATCAGTGAGAATCAAAACGTTTCTACCTTAAACACTGTTATGTAAAGACAGTACCAGGCTTGCACATGTTTATAACTGTATGATTGTATTTGGCTCTCATTGTAAACTTGATTAAAATGTTCATGTTGTTGGGCCAGCAGACGGTTCTGATGCTCTAAGCTGCTTTAATTCAGCCACTTCTAAAGCCGTATTGCTGGCCATTGTTTCAAGTAATTGTGTGTGGCGTGGTCAGTCATTTTCTTTTAAACTGGTAAATACTGCAGACCCCCATCCCCGTCCCATGGTACTGAAAATGGCATTGATAGCTGTCCAAGCCTTGCTCTGAAGTTGGAAATTTCAGTATCATGACAAACACCAATTCTAGAAGTAACACTTTACGTGTAAATTGAGTAAAAATCAGTCAAAATGTTGCTTAATTGCATGAACCAGAATAAATGTAAGTAGGTGCTACCTACCTCCTAGAGTTTGAAGCACCCTTGTTAATGATTTTAGGTCCATCAGTTGGGGTTAAATGTGTGGAAAGGCTGGTTAATAACAGGGCAGAACAGTTAATTGTGGTTATGTTGAAATCACAGGAGCTGTAGTTTTATTTATACCCTACATTATTCAGCGTTACAGAGACTGTAAATACTGTTGTTAGTCCTAGTTACGTTTATACTAATTGTGTTGTAACTACCTCATACTTCTACGCTGTAGACTGGGGTTCAGTCCCCGCCTGGCCAAGCACCCTACGCTATACCAATAAGAGTCTTTGGGCGAGACTCCTAAAACTGCCTTCGGCTACCTGTGTAAAATGATCAGATTGTAAGTCGCTCTGGATAAGAGCGTCTGCCGAATGCCATAAATGTAAATAAATAAAACTGCAGCTCTTGTGATTTCAATATAACCACAATTAACTGCTCTACCCTGTTACTAACAACCCTTTCCACACATTTTACGCCAATTGATGGGCCTAAAATCATTAGATTCGATTTTTACAAAGAAAAATCAACAAAACATTCTTTTGGCCAGGGGTGCCAAAACTTTTGCCTATGACTGTATTTGGACCTGTTGTAGTTTGCACATGGAATAAGTGAGCGTTTCTGGTCACTACTCACCTCTGTGGACTGCACCTATAATTATTTGTCATAATAATGTATTCGTTTTAATAATAGTAAGTTAGCTTTAGCTTCAGTATGTTAACGTTTTAGCTACTTCAGACCTTCTGAAGTGCAGCTGTTGCATAAAATGCAGAGAAGATGAATCACATTTGACATTTAGGACAACAGGTGCCATTCCAGTGTTTCCCAACTTCATTCCAGTAATCCGCCCACGTTGCACAAGCTCGTGTTTTCTTCCGCCTGAGTCGCATCGGAAACTAATTATACAGTCCGGATTCACAAAAGTGTCTTAAGAAGAAAAATCTTCTTAAATATGTGTTTTTTCTTAACTTCATTCTTAGGAAAAAAAGTCAAGAGAAATTGTTATTCTTCAAATAACATCTTAAGAATGATCGTATTTTCTTTTCTAAGAACAAAGTGATATTACTGTAAATATTATGATATGATTTTTTTTTCAAGAATTGCATTTAGGAACGTTCTTATGAACTTCTTAGTGTTTGTCTTAAGAATCTTTGCAAGTTTTTTTCTTAAGAAAGCTTTCGTTAATCCGGCCCCTGGAGCTGAATCGTGTGTATTAGAGCGCGGAACAGTGCAGTGCAGGTGGGCTACAGGAACAGGGGGTGGAAAACGCTGGTCTGTGCTTAAAAAGAATGAAGCCAGTGTCTCCAAATGGTGCATCGCAAAGCCTCACATGTGCTACTGTAAGCTTAGGAGTTAGTTTTGCAGTTTAAATGCAGAGCATATAGTCAGTGTCTCACTTCACTGTAAGACGTATTCATTAACAACACATTTTAATATTTTTGTGTCATTTTGTGTTAAATATGTGTTAAAAAGTAGTCGGGGTGCGTGATGTTACCAGAATCACATCAATATGTGCAGATATTTACTATATAAAAAAAATATGTAAATAAATATATATCAGGATTGGACAAATGTCTAAATTTTGCAGACAATTCTAAAGATTATTTGATAATATATATTTGTTTTACTCTGGAAGAGCAGAAAATGTAGTCATCGCTGGGTTCCTCTGCTGAAACATCTGCATTTTATTCATTTAAATGAATTTGTAGCCCTCTAGAAATAACTGTTGTATTTCTATTTTCATTTTATAAATGTTTATGCGTCAGTAGATGCGTACGTGAAAAATGTTGATGAGCGGTCCACAGTGTCCACATTAGTGCGTGCCTCAAAAGTCACATGCAGTGTGCTGTTCTCAACTGGTCACAGTGTAACAGTAGTTTGTAAAGTTGCTGCTTTCAGAGGGCTGAAGACACACACGTTTTCTTCATATTGTTTTTTCTTTTTGTTTACACCAGTTGTCCTTTACATTGTGTGAACATTTGGGGAAGAATGGACCAACTGAAATGATCCAAAATTACTTTTTTATTTCTGTTTTTTTTACATTCAAAGATGTAAAGTGAATTTTTTTCTCATGCTTTTTTTTTTTTATAACAACTGCAGACAAGCATAACTCCAAACACTGGCTTTTATTATGTATAAATTGTGCCCAATGCATTTATTTTTGTATTTTAATCCTTTTTTTAAAAAAATAACAACAGTAAACAATCATACCTCCACACACTTGCTTTTATATGTAAAAATTGGGCCCAGTAATGCATCAAATTTTTTTATTTTCATGTTTTTTTTTTTTAATAACAACAAGCAAGCAAGCATAACTCCACACATTTGTATTATGTATAAATTGGGCCCAGTAATGCGTCTAATTTTTTTTAATTATTTTTTTATTTTCATGCTTTTTTATAACAACAAGCAAGCAAGCATAACTCCACACTCTTGCTGTTAATATGCATAAACAGGGCCCAATCACACGTCTGCTGTGCTCGTCCATCCAGTACATCCGTGTGTTTAATTTCCGGAGTTTACTGCAGGATTGATTGGGTTTCTATGTAAATAAATATGGAAATACAGGCTTCATTCTGGCAGGACTGATTTGTTGGTTTCCTGTGGAATTAATGATGTTCATAATGAAGTGCTGATTAACGTACAGAAGGATGGAACGAAATGTTTTTAGAATTTGCGTAAATATCTGAATGAAGGCTCATAACAGGGAAGGATTAGCTGTCGGTACGCTGATGAAAAGCATGTATTGTAATGTTTACACCCACACTGTGTCTCATTTACTTACCCTTCACATGCGCATCCTCCTCACTGTGGACAGTCTGTCTGTGGAGTCGCTGC